CTATATTTTGTAAGCTGCCCTGAGTCCCCTCAGGGAAAAGGGCGGCCTATAAATAATAATAAAACTCTAAACTCTAAAACTCTAATTCTGCTTTTCCATTTAAAGAGACTCATGATATTGTCACACGTTTATAACTTTTGGCAGCATTTTAAATTAATGCCAGAATACATATAAGTTTTTTAAAAAGACAGCTGTATTAGCTAACAAAAATGTTATTTTCTCCCTTTTAAGTCACTGCATAGTTAGTATTGTAGAGGAAAAAAACTATACTGAACTCCATACCATCTCTGTTTTCAAATTTTCTTAAAGATGTCAGTCTCTGTTAAATACAAGTTAATAGTTATAACCAATACTGTGAAGGGAAAAAAAGGTCAGTACCTGACAGTCATATTTTTAGGATATTTTTCTTTTAGGCCTTTCTTAACACTTTATCTTCAGACACATCCTATACAAAACTAAGGTCATGTGTTATTCAACAGTTAACTATACTAATCCATAATGATTTTTTAAAATTTCATTAGAAATTATTTGCACTTTAAAAAAAATCTCCTATAGACCACCCTGATTTTTTTTTTATTTACCCAAACTCAACAGATCTACAGTCACAAGCCTGTGAAACCTGCAAGCGGACCAAGTAAGGCTGTTCCGGATCCAAGCAGTTTAAGTAACTTCATATAAACAAAATAAACACCAAAGCTACCTTTTTAATAGAAAACAACAGCCCCAACTTTACAGGCGTGCTAAAAAGTCCAGTTCGATCCATTTAGGTGGATCTGCAATTCTCAAGCCACAAGGACTCAACCACAGAAATGAATGAAGCACTCTGTGGTTTTAGCGCCTCGAGCAGTTTCATTCCAGCGGCCTTCCACTGCCCGCGAAGCAATTTGTAGGCGGGCAGCCTCACGCACTACCGAGGCAGCCCAGGCAGCCGAGAGAGACGGGGAGGAACCGCCGCCTCGCAAGCCGCCAGGCTCCCAGGTGCAGCCGAAGGGAGAGGCGTGGCTCCCCTCCCGGGCTGGGCCGCCCCTTCCTCCCCAGCGCCGGCCCTCCTGACCCAGCGCCGACTCACCTCGGTGGCCGGGATGTTCACGACACCTGTCGAGCGTCTTTTCTCTCTCAGCTTCCTTTTCTCGATCTGCCCTTTTCCTTTACGGGCGCTGGGGCCAAAGGAGCCTTTGCCCTTGGGAGCCACTTTCTCCTCCTCGGGGGAAGTTGGGGCCGCGCTGGTTCTGCTCCCCGGGGGCTCCCCCGCGCCTCCTGCTCTGGTTCCGGCTGCCGGCTGGGGCTCCTTCGGAGTGTTTCTGGCCAGAGGGATGCAATTCATGCCGCCGCTGCCATTGTTGTTATTAAGTTCGGCGGCGGTGGCGGTGCTGCCGCCACTGCCGCTGGTGGCAGTATTGGTGGCAGCTTTGCCATCACTCACCCCGGCCGGCGGTGCTTGTTTGGCCCGCATCTTCTCCCGCTTAGCTTTCCACTCTTCCAAGAAATCGGTGGTAGCAGCACCGCTGCCCCGATAGCCCCCGGTGGCCATGTTTCAGGGAAGCTGCCGATTCCTTGGCGCCCTCCCAACGAGCCCCGACGTGGCTGCTGACCTTCCGAGGTTTACTAACCCAGCGGACTGGCAAAAGTTGCTGGCCGGCCAAAGGACAGTCGCCGAGCGAGGTGGTGGGGAGGACTCCACGCAACCCTCTGCAGGGAACAAAAGGGAGCGAGTGAGACGAGCGCGCTGTCTCCGGGGAGGTGCTCCTCCAGATCCCCAGGGCAGCCCCCCGATTGGGTCTCCCGCAGCCCCTGGAGCTCCGCTCCGCTTCCCTTTGCCCCCCCCAATCTCCGTTTAACAGCAAAACTGGACTTTCTCGGCTACTCAGCTACTCAAATCCCAGCCAACTTTACACGCTGGAATGGCTGTAGTTCTCACACCCTCTCTACGCGCACATCTTGCGAACTCTTTTCTTTCTCACGCGCAAGAAGCGCCTATAAAAGCTGCTCTTCTCGGACCTCTCCGCTTTCCTCCCAAGCGAATGTGGACGGACGATGGGAAGCCTCGAAGACATGCAGACACCCCTGCCTTAACCTAACTTTACGGAACACGCGCGCTTCTCGCCTTCCCACGGGCTACACAGTTTTCCCCCACCAAGCAGTTTCCTTTCTCTTTCTCCAACTCCCGGCTTCAACGAATTTTGCATTCTTAGCGTCTCAACCAGCGCCGTTAAGCGCCGGCTCCAGCTTACCCTCTGATGCTGCCTAGTAAGGAGGCTGCGGAGGCTGCGGCTTCCCCAGGTGAGTTGCCTGGTTGCGGCGCGGAACTCCCGAAGCGGGTCCCGGAAGACTCAGCAGCGCTCCCGAAACTTTCCGACTTTCTCCCATAGGGCGGAGGGTAACCAGGCGAAAGGAGCCGAGGCGGAGCGGAAACTGCCGAGGTGGCCCTGACAATGGGTAAAGGGGCGTGGAGAAGCCTCCCTAACCCTGAGTGCCTGCAGAAGTAACTCCCTCCGAGCCGGTTGTAAGTTGAGCGCAGCGGCGCCTGTTTGTTTGTACGACGCTCGACATGCCTCCCATGACCGCCCAGGTGACAGGCAACTAATACCTGCGTTCTTCTAGTATAGCATAATTTCTTCCGCCTGAAGTAAGACCAGTTTGGTGGAAATAGATATCAGGCATACAAATATTAGCGTTGCTTTATTAAGACGCGTACTGTACAAAGTCTGTTTTAGGAAACAGAGATCTGCCTCTCCCTCCATTTGCAACTTTAACATTTCAGTATTAACTTTTGGGGACAGGATTCTTCTGCGAGCTAAAGTTGTTGAAATTAGGCTTTCAGTACAGCAGTTCACAGTAGGAGAACCCAGTTTTCTTTTACACCCGACTTTCCTAATTATGTTTGATAGAACTTTTAACAACAGCAAAGCAAAATCTCAATAAATTATTTGTCACAGGTTGAGTACTTATTTTATTGGAAATATACGAATAAAGGGCATGTTTACAATATTATGTACTCTTGAAACAATATACTCTTCAGTATATTCTTGGCACATGTCATTAGATTTAGAAATGTTCCAGTGAAATTAGAATGGATAATTAACTCCTTGTTGGGAGGGGGGGGAATCAATCCACACTTCAATAAATGCTGCTCAGCAAAAAGGACCTGATTAGCACTGATGATTGCCTTATGAATAAGAGAAGCAAATAAGTATGTTTCATTAATTAAAATTGAAATTTTATTTGCAAGAGTCTTCTCTTTTGCTTAATGATAGTGTATTTATATGTTTCACAGATGAACTATAACTCTCCTATCTCAAAGGTTACATAGGAATTGATGCTGAACTGATTTTACTTCAGTGGCACCTCCACTGGCCATCAGCATCCATGCACCCACCTATACTTCTAGTCCTTGCCTATGGTACACTCCTGCAGTACCCACACACCTGCAGCTGTACTCCATAGCACCTGTCCACAGCACCCACCCACTCATAGTGCTCACCTGCAGTTCTCACCTATCAACCTGCTTGCCTGGGACTCCTGCATCTTCCTGCATGGACCTGGGAGTTATGATGGCAACTAAGACTCAGGGAATGACATTGTACTTTATGACTGCATCACTTAATGACAGAAATGCTGGTTCCAATTACTGTCATAACCCAAGGACTGTCTATAATTGGTCTAAGTCACTGGACCAGGTTTTATCCCTAAGGGAAAATGAGAATTTATGGTTTTCTAGTTTCTGATCCAGCATTCTAATCAGCTCATTTTTGAAATTTATTTGGAGAATATAGTGAAATAACATAACAAGATTCCTCCATTCCTGTTTTCCTTTCCTGTTCACAAAATGACTATTGTTTTATTGCAGTACAGCCTTACATATAACTTCAGAAATCTATTCTATTGACTAAGTTCACATATCACAGAAGTCCAACAATACAGTATATTGCAACCATGATAGGTATTAATAAAACAATAAGAAATATTTCAATAAGAAAATGACTAGCAGTATTCAGAAAGAGGTATTATCTTTGAGCATAATAATAGTGAGTACAAACACAGTCTAGCCAAAATACATTATTCAGCACTTTATTTCCTACTTATGACTTTTGGAGAATAAATCACTAACTCTCCCTTTGATAGTCATCAGACTTAAAATTACTTCTTAAGCATCAATAGTGTTGAGGTGGCAATAATACATATAGTTTTTTGTGGTGTGTTTTAAATGTATGTTCTAAGATATTTGTATACTCAAAAAAAATTTCATAGTATTTTTACACAGAGCAGGGATGCAAAATATGTGGCTGCCTTTTGCAGTTTGGGAAGATTTAAGGGGAAGATTGAGTCTTCAGCATCCTGGCTATTGGAGGAGATGAAGCTCAGATACATGTTCTTCCCTACCCCCTAAAATCAGGTTGGTCTTCTGGAATAGCCTTCCCTAGACAGTTCAATTAGTCTCATATGCACTCACCTTTCAGAAGCTGTTAAAACAGCTTTTCCAGAGAATACTCGGAGGCTGCTTACCAGAAGCTAGTAAGCTTTTGTATTTTTTAATTTTATCATTATGTATTATAAGACATGAGCTGCTAAGGATCTGCTTATGATTTTGGCATGATGTAAATAAACAAACTCTTCAAAGATATCAGCAGTAATTTGAATTTAAATTAAAATTACAGTTTCATGTATATCCTAGGTTTTTTTTAAAGCCAGTAAACAAGAATTGGATCAGATTTTGTGATTTTTTCCTATATCTGAGCTCCATCATTATATTTGCATCCATCATTGTAGATCTTTCCCAACACTAAAAAACAGCATATTTTAAATTCCAAAAACAGTCACTGACCCCATGGTCTGTTATTGATTAACTCAAGTTCTGTTGTGGTAAGATTGGTGAAGTGCCCATTGCAAAAATGCTGACTTAAGATGTTTGCATTTCAATAGTGGTATATCTTAATGGGAGCTTTTGGGGATAACTTTTAAATAAATGTAAATATAGGTTTTTATGCTCTTTTCACCCATTTCTTGGAATAGTGGAATATATTTCCACTAACTCTTATTACATGTTTCCAATTATAGTAAGAAAACATTGTGCCATCTCAGAGGGGAACTCATTCCAGAAGAAAGACGCCACTACAGAGAAGTTGCACTTCCTGGGTTTTGAAAGATAACACTGTTTAATCAAGGAGACTTAGTCTGCCAGATCATACCAAATAGGCAGAAACCATGGAAGTCAATAATAAATCTTGAATCTTATCTAAATGCACAGTAGCAACCATAGGTGTATCTGGCAAGTTCATAACTCCACATACTGCCACATTCTGGACTAGTTGAATTGTCCAAGTGGTCTTCAGAGACAGCAATGTGCAGAGTGGATTGAACCATGAGGTGACAAGGATGTGAGTGATTGCCTAGGTCACTAGAGAATGCACAAATTGCACATCATTCCTAATTGGGGAAGTGCAACCCTATCCAGAAGTAATGTTAGAAAGTTGCTGGATCTGAAAGGTTCCAACAATCTTGGTAGAATTCTGCTGGAGGTAGTTTTCCCCCATCTAGGCCTACATAGCTTCCAGGCATTGCAACACAGTGTCAAAAGGCTTATTCGGTCAGCTTGGGATTAAAAGATACAATTGGGTGTTACTGATGGGACAGTTGTAACCAGAATCTACTTTGACCTGCATTGATTTGAGAGGACAGATTTGATTGTATTTGTCCTCCAAATCAGTGGTGCTATTCAGCCGGTTCTATCCAGTTTGGGCAAACTGGCAGAAGTGGTGATGGGAGGCTCCACCTACCCACCTGGACATCATTACATCCCATTTTTGATGCTCTGCGCATATGCAGAAAGTCCTGTGCATGTGTGGAAGTGGCGCATGTGCGCTCACATTTGCAAACCGGTAGCGAAGGTAAGTTGATTTCACCCCTGCTCCAAATGGCAGAATTATGTAATCCATGTATACTGTATATAGTATTCCTATATGGTATAGTTGATTTCTTAAAAAGCTAAATGTGGATCTAAACTTTTTTCCAAAGACATAAATGATACTAATACAGGAAGTAATGAGATGTTCTTTGTTGGTATTTAAAATGATTAGATCATGATGATTTTGGGTACTTTAATATCTTTCTTATTAGTTTCACATAAACATTGTACAAAGCCTGGACTGAAATTCTATATACCGCATTTTTCAGAATATAAGACCCTTCAAAGTATAAGACGCACCTAGCTTTTGGGGAGGAAAATAAGGGGGGGGGGAATCTGCCTCTGCCTCCCAGCAATTTGCCTCCTTGCAACAAACAGCAAACAGTAAACAGTACAGACAATATACACTGTTTGTGGTGTATTTCTGTGCATGTGTGCCTGACCAATAGAAATAGCAAAGAATTGGAGGAATG